ATTGCGATTGTGACGCATTAGCAGTGCTAGAATAGACATTCTTTTTAAACGGGAGTTGAAAAACACCCAGCGACCAACACACACACACAAACCATGCCTTCTCTGCAGCAGCTTTTAACTCACGACGTGACTGACAGCACAATGGGTATTCCAGTCAGCCTGTCAGTCAGCTCGTTAGGTTTGATTGCTGACACGGTATTTCTCTCCTACTTTTTTCGCCTCCTCTGTTCTGGTTGGAAACCTGAGCCTTTTTTTATGTTACTATTTGCGCTTCCAGAGGATTAGTGATCTTAATCGTTTGTTTAGATTTTCATCTCTCTGCAAAAGATCCTCAGTCTTGAGCTGTTACGCTGAGTAGGAGCCTGGAGTCTGAAAATAGCATTTGGCGTGGGAAAGTCTGATGCCTTCAGGTAAGATTATTAACATGCTGATAGGATTGCAGGAGCTGAAGAGCCTCGTTAATTGCTGTAGGGTATGACTGGAATGCTGTCATTACTTTTCTTATGGAATTGAAAAGGCTCTTAAAAAGCTTTGCATTACATGCGAGCCTTGCAGCAAAGGTTATCGTCTCCCCTCTCTGCAGGGCCGAGGCTTTGTCCAGGGCTGACGGCGGCTGCATTGGATGTGAAAGGAAACGGGCAAATCTTTATTGGCACCTTCTCCCTAGAGCAGTGCGGCGCGGCGCAAAGTGTCATTGTAGATTTGATGTATTTAAGTGTTTATCCTGTCTGGCAGAGTCCACAGGTGTGTTGGGTGTTGGTTTCCACAGGCACCTCAGAGAGCGCAATTTTCTTTTATTGTCTCCTCGTACTTACCCTCACAAACGCACGCCCTCAGCCTCAAGGTGATGTGGACTCATACACTGACGCGCACACACACACACACACACACACACACGGAGACTTTAAAGGAGTTGAAGAAAACGCACGGAAAAGGAATTTAAGCGTCTGTAATTAGTAGCTTAAATCCCTCTGTTCACCAAGGACCAGAAGTGTAGTGGGATTTGTCTCAGCGACACTGCAGGGATCAGTTACCAGCCTCTGGTTACACAGTACACGCTGACTTGCATAGTGGCACGATGGCAGGAATTCACTTAGAGGCTTGTGACCATATTGAAATGTACTGCCAAGATTCTCAAAATGCCACTTGGGTAAGTGAATTTGAATCATGGTAATGTGAGATGCTCCTCTTACCGTGCCATTGCGTCTGGTTTGAGGGTGGAACTTTTTGTGATTCTTTTTTTATGCATTAAACGTTGCATGAGGGTTTATTTGAAGATTTAGAGGTTCTCGTGTCAGAGCGTCTAATGAAACGATGCTCTGTTCCAATGAACAGGTCGTTGCGTCACAATGAAGTTTTGATCCCAAGTTTACGGACTTTACTTTGTAACTGGCACCTTTTGACACATTCGCACTAAGAACTTCATCCTGGCACAATCTTCTGATGTAATAATAGAAATATATAAACATGTTATATGTGTTCTTCTGACACTTTTATAAAAGAACGATAACAAATAAACATAGCATAGTCACCTTTAATAAATCATTCCAAAGTATACATTCACTATTGTATGAACTTATAATATCAGAATACATATATATATATATATATATATATATATATACAGTATATATATGTAAAATATATACAGTATATTTAATATATGTAAAATATATATATGTAAAAAGTATACAGTATATTTAATATATGTAAAATATATATATGTAAAAAATATATATGTAAAATATATACAGTATATTTAATATATGTAAATATATACAGTATATATATGTGTGATGAAGTAGCTTGACATTACAGGCATTAATTCAAAGGATAAGCCCAAAATGCCATCATTCCCGTGTGTGTAATTCGTAGACACTAAACACACTAAATTACATTCTATACCATTTATGGAGGAATTTAAACAAATCCCCCATACTGTGACGTTATTACAAAGTGTACAAAGCGTGGCTTTGATGTCTCATCTACGAACATAACTAACATAACTTAGTTTTGACTATGACCTCTCCCAGACTATTACAGTAGTTCAGCTGCCTGTCCTTTACCTTAACAGTAGATCAGAACGAGCCTGAAAACAACGAGAACTCCATATTTTGGCATTTATGCACGAGTACTCGGGTAATACGAGTCTCATTATGGATGCTCACTGAACAGTAGCGCCTAAATAAATAAGTGAACCTTTCAATCATTTTCTCAATTAATCGATTACTTGTTTGACATTTTTCACAATTTTCTGACTTTTTATAGAACAATCTGTGATTCCCAAAACCCAAGATGACATCATCAAATGTCTTGTTTTGTCCACAACTCAAATATTTTCAGTTTACCAGAAAATATTGAAATTTTAAAAGCTGGAATCGGTGAATTTGAACTTTTTTTCTTTAATTAATTAATTGTTTATCAAAAGAGTTGCTGATTATTTTAATAGTTGACAACTAATCGATAATTCGTTGCAGCCCTATATGGCACATGAACTACAGCACCCCTGAATGAAATATTTCTCGTCGATATATACCGTGTACTTTACTTACTTCCCCTCTGGTGTGTATTGCAGCCGTGCTGAAGGTTACCACACAAAGCTGTGTTGTGTGGGCTCTTTCCAGCTTAGTTGAACCTTTGACTGCACAATCTAATGGGCTTGCTCTCCAGCGCGCTGTGGTTCCTGGAGGTTTACAAGAAGAAGAAAAAAAAACTATTTACATTTTGTGGTTAATCACACAACTTTCTAGACCGGGGAGCTCAGCGGATGCACACTAGCCTCTTCACATCTGAAAAGATTTTGTAAAAAAGTAAATTGCACGTAATTCTGAATACAAAATGCACTCTGCCCGCAATTCTGACTATTATGGAGATAATGCCACTTCCTTATGTTTTTTTTTGTCCTCTTCCTGTTTTGATGTGGAGGAATTCTGTGCCTGCCCTCTTCTTCCTCAGCTCAGGTGTGGAGCTCGGGTGATAAGAGAATATTAGCTGGCACTAACTGCCATTGTTCCAGCGGACCAGCTCTCTCTCTCTCGCTCTCTCTCTCTCTGTCTCTCTGTCTCTGTCTCTCTGTCTGTGTCTCTCTCTCTCTCTCTCTCTCTCTCTCTCTCTGTCTTTGTCTCTCTCTCTCTCTGTCTCTCTGTCTGTCTGTCTCTCTCTCTCTGTCTCGCTCTCTCTCT